TCTTCATTCCCTTTGGCACGGGTTTTGACCAGATTTCCATCTCTCATTCCCCTTAAGGAGCAGTGGGTCCAACCAATGGCAATTTTTCCTTTACATGGGGGCCTTTTAAGAAGAAAAACTAACGCTTCCCTTTGTGGGCAAACAGTTAAACAGCCCCTCTCCCGCCCGAAGATTAAGACCCCCGCTGTACCTCCTCGGTGCGTTAAGCACTGTGTAAGTGTTTGAAATTGCCCAGGAGCATAACCAACGCGCTGAGCTCTAGAGCAGCCTTTTAGCTGAAAAATGGCACAGTCTATTCAACATAACACGGAGCCAACAATGCGCCTAAACACACCTCCATTTTAGACCAGCACACCCAGACGTCCACAAAGTGGCGCAAAGCGGCTATTAATCCACGCGGCACACAATATGAAAGTTAGGGCTGCGCTGGTCCGAAAATAGTGACAAATCGCAACTTATTGGGCCTGACGTGTGATCGAGCCCAATGTTCACGCGTCCGTGCTTGATATGCACACATGTTCATTCACCTTAATATGCAAACAACATGTTTGTCGCACACAACACCTTTTATCTACACACATAAAAAAGACATGCATACAGCCATATCGCACTGCTACGAGTATAAAAATCACACATGGAGAGTCTCAAAAACCCCTTCGTCTGAGGAACTTCTCTCTTCCGCCTTGGATATATATCATTAGCTCTCAGTTAAACAGTTGCGCGCGCTTCATATATACATTTGATTACAAGAGTCTACATTTAGCTGGATGTATGTGGGCGTATATATATATATATATATATATATATATATATATATATATATATATATATATATATATATATATATATATATATATATATATATATATATATATATATATATATATATATATATATATATATATATATATATATATATATATATATATATATATATATATATATACATATATAGTCCAGTGGTTAAAATATATAGTACAGTGGTTAAAATTCACACCAGAAGTTGTGACGTCTGTTATTTTCGGTTGACTGATCATTAATTGCTTTAGCTCTCAGTGGTCAAACTGAGCCCCCTGGTGGATAATCATTAAGGCCCCTAAACCACATGTATTATGTAAACCACTCAATACACCTTTTGTTTAAAAGCTAGAGTGGAATGCACTAAAACAAGGCTAAAGGCATGCGTACAACATGTACCAGAAAACAGAACTATTACATAATTTCTTAATATGTTTTAATTCAGTTTTGTCAACTAATGGCTATAATGCATAATATGCATAGAATCACATTGCAAGCATCCTCATAAACAAAGCCTTCAGTGTGATCTTATGCATATTAACAAATAGCTATCTTTAAATCAAATTAAATGTATCAGTATTTTCCTTCTGTACACGTGCTAATGTCATTGCCCCGTGTCTCTAAACTCAGAGATCACTTGTAAACACTGAAGGAATGCATGATTCATTTTGAGTTGGGACATGAATTTTCATATTTAATGCTTTTGGCATTGACAGATGTTATAGAACATTTCACATTTCTCTTATCGCAAAGATTTTATGACTGCGGGACTATATCTTTATGAGATTTCTCCTTTTTAATAGTTGCCTTTCCACCTGTAGAGACTAAGATGACACTTTAAAGCCATCCAGCCTATTTCTGAACAACACTAAAAGGTCTGTGACCGAGAGGGGAGGTGATTTCAATTTCTGTTAAGTGCTGTAAAGTGACAGAATATAAACCATTGGTGTGAAGACACAGGCCTCTCCAGACCTCACGCAACCTTTGGATTTGGCTTTTTCAGCGAATATTCACACAAGTCTCTGGTGAGTAAAGAGTCTTGAATTTTTGAGAAAACAGCTAAGATTTCATATATTGTTAACAAAATCAATGCAATTCAAGGACTTTGCAACTGCTACAATTTGTTAAAAGCAAAACTAAACTTTTATCATTTATTTAACCTCATGTAGTTCCAAACTTTATGACAGACATGTTTCTGTTCAAACAGTGAAAGTCAATTGTTTTTGGACGCCATTGATTTTGAGAAGCTCATTTTTGGTTTTCATATTTCTGTCAAAAAAAAAATGAGTTGATTTAAAGACAGATTCTCCGAAACACTTCACAAATCAAACTGTTTGTGTCTTTTCATGTCTTTCATTTTAAATAGCGACAGCTGGAAGACATATAAAGATGAAGGTACTGGTTAGAGTCGCTCTGCTCCTGCTGTGCTGTGTCAGTTGTGTAAAAGGTAATCTATAACTTTCAGGTTTTGAATATCTGATCTATTCAAATCGTAACATTTTAACTACATTTTGTTGAGCACAGTAACATTCAATATACTTGGAATCATTAAGAATAGTTAAAGCCTTCTCTGGTCACCAAGGCTTTATTTATTTGATTTATGATGGTGATTATTATTTATAATAATAATTATAATAGTTTAGTTTAAACTTTATTTGTCTTTAACACTGGATTTAAGACAATTGCATACGTACAACAATCACACAATAACAACACTCATCAAGACAACAACGTAAGTTAAAATTTTAAAAAACAAATACACATATTGCTGCACATCAATCTTGACAACCACCCCATTAACTTCAATCAGCGATCTGATGTAAGACAACTGCAATTGGGGTAAATGAATTTTTTTAAGCGCTTCTTCATTCAGGCTTAAGGAATTTTAAACATGCCTTCTAATGGTAACATTTCAAAAACGTGAAAAGTGAGGGGAATGTTTATCTTTAAAAATCGCAATTGCTGTTTTTATCCATAAAGGAGTCAAATAGTATCAGCAGTGAAGATTGCTTGTGAGCAGTTATCTTATTTGCCTGATTAATAATTTGCGATAATTTCTATAATTTGCAATAATATTAATAATAAGGAGCTAATTTTTAGGGATCATTACTTTTCACTGCCACATGATGCTCCAGAATTCTTTGTAATATTATGATTGATGCTTTGTTTTCATTAATAAATATCGGTTCTCAGTCATGAATTCATTCATTCATTTTGTTGTCGGCTTAGTCCCTTTGTTAATCTGGGGTCGCCACAGCGGAATGAACCGCCCATTTATCCAGCATGTTTTTACGCATGCCCTTCCAGCCGCAACCCATCTCTAGGAAATCAGTCATTAATACATTTTTGTATAAATATTTTTTTCTGCTACATTTTTTTTTTTTTTTTTTGTGGAAAACTTTGTAGAAATGCTTTTTACTCATCAAGGGTTCTTTGATAAATAGAAAATAGTCAAGAATAACAGCATTTATCTGGAATAAAGTCTTTTGTGCCATTTTCTTTACTACTACTTTTAATGTGTCCTTTAACAGTAAACCCAATCTCAGATAGATATCTAAAGTGACTGAAAATTCAGCTTTGAATAACAGGAATAAGCAAGGCCAGTCAAATTAAAACCTTGAATAAAGTAAGGCTGCTTTAGTTAATTTACTAACATGAACAACCTATGAACAATATTTATAATATTTTATTGATACCTTAATTAATGAAATTAAGTCTTTTTAGTGCATTAATAATGCTAATAAGTATAATTTTGCATTTTAATATTAGCTAATAATAATTATTATTTATTTTTCAAAGTGATCGGTTGCAGCTGGAAGGGCATCTGCTGGGTAAAACATATGCTGGTTAAGTTGGCGGTTCATTCTGCTGTGGTGACCCCAGATTAATAAAGACACTAAGCCGAAAAAAATGAATGAATGAATGAATGAATGAATGAATGAATGAATGAATGAATGAAAAATAATAATAATTAGTATTATTTAATATTACCATTTTACACTGGTAAACATAACATTACTATTATTTAGGCTAGTTATTATTAAAAAATAAATAAAGTTGAGCAAGTATGCTTGGTTCATGTTAGAAAACATTAACTAACATTAAATGCAACCTACAACTTAGTATTTTCACACTTTTGAATGGTTCTGCATTTCAAACCAATGGGGGAAGAGTGTTAATAGCTGTCAGACTATATGTTAATACCATGTGTTCTACCTGAATGAACTCTTCTAACTAGATAACTTTCTTACACCCTGACTATAGCGGTCACCGTGGAGTCCTGTCCGCTGGCCGTCGGGAGTTTGCTCCAGACAGCGGTTGAGGAAACCGTCACTCTCACTTGTATGACTGATAATACTGACCCATCAAGCCAACAAGAGCTGCAGTGGTTCCGCAACGGTGCCCGTGTGAAACTGCCAGAAGAAAACATGATGTCCCGGAGCAGTCTTTGTGTCCAGCCTGTCACTAAAGAAGACGACGGAGCCGTCTTTACCTGTCAGCTGAAGGGCGATGCCAGCGTCAACAGCACAGTCGAGTTTGACGTCCTTTGTAAGTTAATGTTCCGAGTACATGAGGGAACATGAGGATTATTTTGAAGGGTGAACTGAGAGCACGTAATCCGTATTTTATTTCAGTATTCAGTTCAGACATACCGTATCAAAAGTATCAGCAATACAAAAGTTTTGGAGCCATGACCTTTATCATAGCCTCAAGCTAACAAATACATTGTTGCTTAAAGAGGGTGATGGGACAGAAACATTGTAAATATTATTTCGATACCCACATGCAAGAACTGTGTGCAGGATTTATTCAGTGCATTTTAGCCTACATAATTTTAAGTTATCCTGCAAACCTATGCCGTTAATTAATATTAAGTATTAATTTGGAAGATGCTAATGGTCTAATCCGATTCAATGATTTATGCTAAGCTAAGCTAAAAATATTTCCACCAGATTCGCAGATCAACTGATTGGATGCAAAAATTGTAAAACTCAACAGTTTAACTGTTTAAAAAAACTAAAGTGAAGCGTTTATTTGATGCATTTTCAACAGTATAGCCAAAATCTACTACATAATGCAGCATAATTTTATTGTGAAGAAAGTTAGTAATATTTCCTGTCTAAATTTCTGTTTAATTCTGTATCTTCATTGTCATGATAATAATGTGTCTCTACACCTGTAAAATCTTGAGACAACTGTAAATATCATGATGGTAAAACAACATAGTTCAGCAGATTGTAATTTTTTTTATAATAACTAAAGGTTTTAATATCATTATTTTACAGATCCCCCAGACCTTAATGACACTACAGAAGTGTTTGTTCAGGAAACAAATGACGCTGTTCTGTCCTGTGAAGTACGTGCCAACCCTCCAGTAACTGTGGTTTGGAAAAAGGATGGCGAGGTTCTAGATCTGACCACCGGTAGTTACAAATCAACCAATAACGGCATCACCGCTCAGTTGACAATCCCAAAACTTAAGCGTGATGTACATCAGGGGTTGTACGTCTGTGAGACAAAATCAGCTATGTATGGAGTTACTGGCAGAACTTTTCAAGTTACGGTTGAAGGTTTGTGATCTGGTTTTATCCTCACTTTGTGTATTTTCTTGTTTGATATATTTTAAGAGTTCTGTTTTTTTCACTCCTTTAGATAGAGTGATTGGGTTCCCTCTGGGACCCACAATTGCTGGAGTAGTGGTGGTTGCATGCACAATTGTATTAGCGCTCATCTCTAGAAGAAATAAAATTATGAAGGTAAGCCAACTTCATTCGGGATAATCATCATTACTAATGAAATTTCAAATAAATAATTATAGCCCAGGGGTGTCTAGCAGAATGCAAGGTTAACTTACCATCTGCTAAACTCTGAACTGTGTTGATTAACCCTGTATCTACTTTCTCAAATTATGTCTCTTTCAAAACTGTTCCTGAGTTCAGTTAACTCAGAGCATGTTGATCCGGAACAAAAAAGGCATTCTCAGTAGAACGCCAATACCATGGGTCACAATGAAAACATACACCAAAAAGCTGCGTATCATGCATCTTTTTTCATCTTCTGTTTAATGTTGAGTTACATTCTTAAAGCATAGTACCCCTTTTTGGTTGTTATTTTTACATTAATTTTTATATTGATATTAAACCTTAGATTGAGAACATTAACTGTTAATTATACATTAAAAGAACCATTCATTTCAAAAGGTGTGAATATATTTATTAATTGGTTGCTTTTGCCTTCAAATTTATTGTGAAATATATGTGAAATATAAAATCAAACAAAGAGTGCACAGGGGTAGCTTAAATAATGTGCTGGGGCTCTTTAGGTAAGGGATTCATTAGAATAAACAGCAAAAAAAATTAAAAATCAGTTCAAGGCCTAAAAAAAAATTAGGAAAATATTAAAAAGCCTTTATTGACATCGCTGCACATTTTTTTTAATTTAAAGGTGAAATATATTTCTATAATAATATTAATATAATATATATAAACAATACATTTTTTTTGAAAGTGTCCTGCTACAAAATAATATTTATATTTATAATTAATAAAAGAATAAATTAAATAAATAACAGTCCAAATAAAAAAATATGTTTCAATAATATGGTTGTAAAATTGCTTTATTGAGAACTTCCAAAATAAATTTAGAAATATTGTCAGAAACAGAGGTGAACGAAACCTGAAACACAACCTACTCCAGGCCAGGTTCTGCTCAGTGCGTTTTATGCTTATATATCCTTAAACTTATCCAGGCTTTTTGGAATACCCCTCTGGATAAAATTCATACAGCGTTTATACAATATAACAGATTTTCTAGTGTATAAATTCTGGAAATATAATTCAAAATGATTTGTGTTTTTGTTGTTTTGTAGTGCTTAAAACGAAATTGAACGTACAATGGAAAAGCATCTCTGGAATTCAAACCACAGTTATCTGAAGCATTGAGCACTGAGGAGATCAGACTGGAATGCAAGTAGCCGTTACTGTGGAAAATGGGAAACCAGGACAAAATCCCTCTTAAATAGGAATTGCTAATTCAAAAACAAACATCCTATTCGTTTTGTAATTGTTAAATTATGAAGTACAACTGTTTACATAATTTTTAGATGATTGTGTGTCTTGTTTATTGCTTTTGTCTTATTATATATGTATTTGTGTGTGCGTGTTTGCTTGTAAGTGCATGTGTGTGCGTGCATGCGTGTGTGTGTGTGGGTTTTTGAGCCACTCCAATAATGCACGTGTTGTAGAGACAGTAAAATAAACTTGTTAAAGTGAATGACAAGATATATTACTCTCGCAAGGATGAGACTTTTCTTCTATAAAATGGCCATGTTCAATGTTCCCATGTGTCATTACCCTTTGACCATCAGATAAATAGCCTAAATGCAATGTGGTTATGCTTATAATCATAAAGCAATGTTCCATTTCATCAGTTTACTTGTACATTGTCATATTAACTTTGGAGATGAATACATTTTTATTATGTTTTAGCTTTGATGGTTATTTAACGTGGTTATTTTGAGTTTAAAAGCACAGATTTAAAAACAGTAAAAAATTGCAGCAGTAATTACAATATAAATATTGTATGACGTCTATGCATTTCATAGCTACACAACGTTTTACTTTTTTATTTAATGTTTGTTCACAATGAGGTTTGCTACTTCTGGATTTTAGTGTTTAAATGTCAGCTTTATAGATATTTTACAGTCTATGCTATTGAATAGAGGCAGCTTATCAATGCAAGCTACAAATTATTGAACAATATATAGACAGTAATAATTACAGTATGAAACATTATGAAATATATAAGATACATAGTGGAAGCTGGGGGGAATAAATAAAAAATAATAATATAAAAAAAAATA